ACACTGGATTCCCAGAGGAAGACCAGGCCCATCTACACCACCACTGGACCTTCAGAAGAAAACTCCACCCTTGTCCAGGATCCCTGCTCCAGCAGGGTGTCAGGTTGTGTTCTGACTCTGTCAGTATTGTTTTGTATTACTGCATTTTTATTTTTTTTCTTTCCTAATAAAGAACTGTTACTCCTACTCCCATATCTTTGCCTGAGAGCCCCTTAATTTCAAAATTATAACAATTTGGAGGGAGAGAGTTTTACATTTTCCATTTCAAGGGAGGCTCCTGCTTTCCTTAGCCTTTTCAAACCAAGACAGGGGTCATTAGCATCCCTTCCAACCCAAGCCACTCTCCGATTCCACCGCCACGCGATTCTATGCTTAATTACAGATGTACGGAACAAACACGACGCCTTAAAATTTGTACTTGACAAAAACTGACAGAAACAGCAGAGCCAGAAAGCGGCTTCAACCAGCGGAGCCGAGACGGAGCAGCGCCGGTCGGGCGGGGCAGAGCACCGGGAGCGCCGGTCCCGGCGCTCCCGGTGCTCTGCCCCGCCCGACCGGCGCTGCTCCGTCTCGCATTCCCGGAATCACTGCCGGGGCACGGAGCACCGCCGGGACATCACTGCCCCGTTCCGCTGTGCCGTCACAGAGCGGAATCACTGCCGGGGCACGGCGCCTCCCCGTGCCGTGCCGTGCCGTGCCGGGCGGGCGGGCGCTGCCGGTTCGCCATGGGGCAGTGCCTGCCCTGCTTGGGGGATGCCGGCAAGGACGTGGTGGAGACGCCGGACCCGGTGAGTGCGGGACCCCGGGTTATCCTTTCCCCGGGTTTATCCATCCCCGGGTTTATCCTTCCCCGGCTCTATCCGTGGGCACCGGGAGCTCCGCCTTAGTGCGCAATTGTGACCCCCGTTTTGACAAGGAATAGGAAAAGCTGCGCTTGTTTTTTGTCCCGGTGGATGGTGATGCTCGCTTCTAACTACCCTTCACTGCATGACGTTTTTTCCTAGCTAAGAGCTCTGGTTTGTGGGACAAGGAGAGGAGCCTGCTTTGCCTGGGAGAGCAAGCATTCCCCCTTTCCTGGCTCTAAAAGAATGTTTAATGCGCTGCTTGCCATTTCACTGCAGTCCGGATGTTTTGAGTGGAGGCGCAGAATAGCGGGTTTCACTGTGTGTATGTCAGCAGCTGCTCTTCTGGCGTATTAGTCATTAAAAACACTTTTCTTTCTTGGCAGTGCAGGAAAAGATTATGCTAATTGAAGTTGTCATTTTGTGGGAGGTAGCATCAGATTTGAGTCGTACTTAAAAATTAAGACTTTAAAAAGAATGCAAAGACTATATTGAAGTAGAATTTCACCGTCTTTAACATTTTATCTAGGAAATAAAAAGAAGACAACTAGCAGAAGCCGCTGAAAAGAGGCAGATGGAGGTAATGTCTGATAAAACGTCATTTGTTGAAATGATTTCTAGATAAACTGCTTTATAGGGAGAATGGCTGTGGCTTCTCTGGGTATCATGTTTGGATTGTGGGAATTGTAGCTGAGTACTTTCCTGGTATTATTAATGTTGTACATTTATATGTTTTTTATATATATTAAGAATTTCACAGGTAGGTGCTCTAAGACCATTGCAAAGTAACTGAGCTTGTTTGAATGGGAGATATTTTACAGTAGTTTATAAAACAGCCTAAAAACTGGAAGAGCAACTTCAACATTATTTTTTTCCTTGTTCTAAGAGTTGAAAACAAGAGATGGATAAGTATTCATATCAGAGTGGTCAAACAATTGTTGCAGTGGCAATTTCAAATACACTTGTACTTTTCTTAAAAACGCAGGTTGTATGCACTTGCAGGTTATTCTTTATCAATAAAGCAACAGTTTGAACATGTTTATCAGCTCAGATTCCAGCAAAGATGTAGTATTAACTTAGTCTTTCGTCTTTTTAAAGTTGCCAAGCTTTAACTGCTTAGGTATCTTTAAAGTTAGAAGTAAGATACAAATGTTCTAGTAGAACAGCCAGCCTGTATTTTTTCCTTATATGCCTCTAGAAAGACTTACAGCATATACTTTTATTGCAGATTTTGAATTATGTGTCTTAGAGACCACAGCTGAACTGTGAAGAGAAAGGATTGTTATTTGTGTGAATGTTGGTGACATTACATATTGAATTATGAATTGGCTGTTATGCATGAGGACCATGTTGACCTGGGCTACCTTTGAGGTCATTTTAGCCTCTGAATGTTGGGCGATGGAGATGTCTTTCAAGCAGCCATACTTAGTTTCACCCTTGTGAGGGGACAAGACAGTAGATCAGATGTCCTTCCTTCTCTGCTTAGTGTTTTCTTGTACATGCCTGTTGGCTGCTCACTATCCCTCCTGACATCATATGAGCTGTTCTTCCTTTTGGGGTGCTGCAGACAGCTTGGGTGCCTGACTCACTTGGAAGCCCAGTTTCCTAAGAGGCAGAGAACATGTGGTCTAAGGAGGTTGTTATTTGGTGGTAAGATTTGTCTTGGTACCCCACTGACAATTGAGCTTATTGCCCGGACCTTGAAATTCAGGTGAGAACATCGCTGTTTTGTCTTGGTAGATTTTAGCATCTTTTGTATAACTTCTGCTGTGTTGTTACAACCCTAAACTTGGATAAGAATCAGTTTTTAAAAATTTTTTTTTTTTTCTTACTTCATGGTGTTAACTGTAATTCTGATGCTCTTGCCATTTGGTCTAGATTGTCATTAAACAGTTCCACAAGGAACTGAAGCAGACAGTTCATGACAGAGTCTTCATTTGGTACTCCTGCTACCCACACACCCTGTGACATTTTGAAGGGTGGACCATCATGCAGGGTATTTTTCACAGATCACAGTTGAAAAGTTGAACTTCTTCACAGCCTGGGCTAGCACTGCAACACAGCTCTTTTCCTCCTCTGTTCATGAGGGTAAAAGTAGGCCCTGACACTGAAAAAAACAGAAAAAAATTTGTGGACTTTTGGGAAGTTCTGGTTCTGCATCTGCGGATCAAATATCTTCACCTGGATGTAATAACAAAGGGAAACAAAAACACCCTCATTTATCTATGGGACCAAGACTTCACAGAATGAGAAAATATCCTGAAAGGGCTACCTTGATGTAATAGTAGCATTAATGAATACTTCAGTCTTTTCATGCAAACCACAGTTCATAAAATAGTGTTGCCAACACTTGCAGTTTGGTTTCTCTCCAGAAAAATAGCTAACTTGGTCTTACTGAAATATGTTTTCTCCCAGGCTTCCTCTCGAGGTATTAAGAATGCTTACTCTGTAGAGCAGAAGAAAAAGAAACAGGAAGAAATAGAAAGAAGACTTGCAGCTTCACGTCCTGGAGAAGGAGGTCTGAGAGTAAGTTGAAAAAAGAAATAATGTGATGCAACTATTCTTATATTCACTGTGAAAATCTGTTTTGTTACGTAGAAGATTGATTAACTTGAGGAAAAACCAAGAGGAAGGGAAATGGAATAGAAATGGAAGCATGTGTCATTATCATGCAGTGTTCTTAATGAGACTTCATCACTAGGACAGAAAGGCAGCAGCAGTGGCAGAGAGCTTCACCCCCACCTTCTTCCTAGTTTCTACATGTATGATGTGTCACTTTTACAGGTCCCTCAGCACTGGGGACCTCATCACTGTTATCCTGCACTCAGTGTCCCTTTTCAGTGCCAGTTAAGATTATCTCTCTTCCTTCAGAGCTTATAGAAAACATCTGAACTAAGTAGGGTGATGGTTTTGTGTTTATATGTCTCTCATTATAAAAGAAATATAGTGTTGGCATAAAATTACTACTATGGCTACTCTAATGTGAACTTTACCTCAGAAGGCCAGGCAGAGAGTTAATGAAGAATTACAGTCTCTCCAAAACAATAGATGTATCTTATCACTGAAAGTCAGGCTTTGTAAACCTTCACCTTTTGCCCTCATTACCATATACGATTCAGAAGGCAGGAGTTTGTATAAGTTGCCACTGATACACTGCATGTCCATCACTTGCTGGGCTAAAGATTGAGAAATTAAAGGTGAATGGAGAATTCACTGCAGTTCGACAACCTTATGGTGTTTGTTTGCTTTGGGACTTTTTCCTTTCTTTTCCTTACCTCCGTACAAACCTGTGGTGTGGTTTGTTTGTGTTTTTAGTGGCAGGTTGGATAACACATGACTGCTGAAGAGAAGATGATTGATGTTTACTGCCAGCAACTTGTCAGGTTTTGCAGTCAAGTGACACTTGGTCATCATGTGCTGTTTACCTCTGAAGACGCAGCAGTACTTTGCCATTGTGGGACAACGGATGTGGAAGCAATTAACAAAGAAACTTAAGAACTAATTCTGAACACTATGGTTTTGCCAATTTTGTTTGTTTGTTTTCCTTGCATGGTTTATTGCTTCCCTGACAAGACTTCCTGTCAGCTGGAAGTGGCCTCCTTATGTGTAGCCAGTCAATATGTGTACACTGTCTGGTCAGCTGATGTCTGTCTGTCTGTCTGTGTATGACTGGCTTGAGCAAGCTCAGGTGCCAAGTGTTGGTTTTAATGCTTATTTCAAGCTCTGCAATTAAACTTTTCTCCAAGTCCTCATGTAGAAAGTTTTTCATATTTATATATGTATTTGAATATGTGGATGACAGCATTTCTTTTCTGTTTCCTAATGACTCTTGCACTGCTTAGGAATTAGTGCCTTTTTGAAAAAAGAAGAGTAGAGTCATGGTGGGTCCTTAGAAATGGAATAATTTTGTGGCTAGTAAAAGAAAAAATAGAAAGCTTTATAAATCCTGTGTACTTAGATAAAGAATGTAATTTTATTATGTGTATAATAATTGTTCTCGTTTTCTCATGTGGGTTAGAGTCTAAATATTTATACTGAATACTGAAAGTTAAACATGAAATTAAAAATCCTGTTATTAGTTGTGTTCATTTATTACCACAAGAGGGCAATGCTAATCTTCTCAGGATTTTGAAAAACAAACAGGAAAACAGCTGCTATGCCACCATCTTGCCAGTTCATTTCCAAAAGTTTCTGTGTTATCTATTTAGGTGGACTACTTACGTGCAAAAACATTTTCTTTTCCCCAGAGAGCACTGTGCACATTATGCATGGGCTCAGTACCACAATTGCTGCATTTCTGACTAGTCAAGATACAGAGGCTTTTTTTCCACCCCCTGAACTATGTATTTTGTCTTTCACATCTCAGTACTGCCCAGTGTTGTCCTGAGAGTGCAGTCCTGACACAGTTTCCTGGCTTAGCCTTCAGAATTGAGCTGAGAAGGGAGAACTTTCAATATTAACATAATGGTGTTTGGGCTAAAAGAGGCTGTATCCTTGGCTGAAGACTGCCTTCAGTTTCCTTTGATTGCTGGCAATTGCTGTCTTCAGTGTATTAACTGTTCATAATAATTTTTTTAAAGTCTAGTGAAAATGCTTTGAGTTATAAAAAGGTACCTCAGATATTAATTTGAAATGAGAATTTCAGGCTAGCATTACAGTAGGTGTCCTACAAGACACTTAAGCAATACCTGCACTTAGTTGGTCGCTTGGGGTATTTAAAACTTTAAACATTTTTCTCTTCATTGTCTGTTATATGCTCCTCTGAAACTGCAAGGGGAGCAAATAACCATGTCTCTTGTCATCCAAGCTTCTGCTTCCATTAGTGCTATGAACACTTTCATTTAAAGCCATTTAAAGAACCTAGAGAAAAGAATCACATTCTTCTCTCTCTCCATCCTTTATGGAAAAGCCAGAGCTGTCTGTGCTTCTTAAGAGACCTAATTTTGAATGTTGGATTTATTCTACGGCTAAGGAACCACATCAGATGATGTGGGAGTGTGTAGTTCTAGCTTATGAATCGCCTACAAAGCTGTTTTAAAAGATGTTCCTATATCATACATATCCAATTGGCCAGGCTCAACTGATTGGGAATTATTTGAGTAAATAAAACCACTTACTGTTAAGGTTTAAGTTTTGTTTCAGTTGACAGTTAAAGCAGATCAGTACTGTACAGCTAATAGCAACCTGACCTGTGCCACTGAACAGTAGGGCTGAGAGCTGCTCTCTCCTTACAGATGTCTTCTCTTGTCTTCCTTATTGTTTAGTGCAGCAGTTAGTTTATGTGAACCACAGCAGTTTTGTCCTTATTTCCCTCAATCCTGGTGGTTTACTTCACCTCAGAGGCTGTCAACATGCACCTTTTCACACAGATTATCTAGATGGTTGATAAATTTTGTTGACATCAGTGCAACTCTTTTTCCTTCATCTTCTCAAAGCACAGTCTTGTACTTCAAAAACTGACAGGCTAAAAAACAGTGCTAAAAACTGGACTGAAAAGCTGACTCTCCATGACTGTGATAGCATCATCTTTGTTGCAGCAACAAAGTGAAACCATTTGCCACTCCATATGGTTAAAATACGAAGATCATGCTAGAGAGAGAGTGTTTGTAGTAGATGTCCTGAAATTTGGGAAGATACAGAAGCTGTGTCTCCTCAAGTATGGGCAGCATCACAGTGGACTCTGAAGAGCACAGATGACTTCAGCATGTGGATTTGGTGCAGTGACAAGACCAAGTACTTGAGATGCAGCTCATCAGGCACAAGCAGTGCCAGCAGCTTTTCCAGAGTCTGGGAAAGCCTGTCCAGCCCCATCAACATTGGTGTGGTCCCACCTGTCTGTTCCACCTTACCTTAGTCGACACACCAGAGGCTAAGAAAGCAGGAGACACAGCAAAGCAGCAGCACTGTGCCTCCTCCCTTGTCAGGTACTCCCAGGCTGCTGCCAATGTGGCAGTACAATGGGTAAGCCCAAAAAGAGCCCATCCCTTGTCAGCATCTCTAGGAGATGCTTCTGTAACTCTCTGCTGTGGCAAACAGCTCATCTTCCAGATCTAAAGTGAACACGAGTAATAAATTCAGGATTATGTCTTCAGATACAAGAAACTTGCTGCACTTTTCCCACACATATAGTGCCTTCTTGTTTCACTCATCCCCAACAATCCTTTAACTAGCTGCCATAGATTTTCCATATCTTCTCTGAAATGCTGCTGGACAAAAAGGTGGTACTGCAAAGGAAGGATCAATTATCCCCATAATAAAGATGTGTAAAACCCCTATCCTCAATCAGTGATGTAAATAATCTTGCTTAGAAAAAATCTCTAGGTAATGTATGAATAGCAAGGTGACAGACTGCACTTCCTATAAAGAGTGGTAACAGATATCACAGTCACATTTCCAAACTAATTTTGAATGGCTTCCAGCATGACGAGTCATATTTGACATTATACAATAATAATGTATTTTTGTAAATAACTTTACATCATTTATCCGTTTTGAAATTAAGCACAATTTATTTACACGCATCTCCCATGGGGTTTGGTCTACAAGGACTTTGAGAAAAGGCTTTGTTGTAGCTCCTATCAGTTAAAGTTTTTAGAACTTCAGCCTCCTCAACTTTCACATTCAGCCAATTTACACAGCAAGACAGTTAAAATCACTACATAATGGAAAATGACCTGAATTTGTTCTGCCCCTATCACTGCAACAAGGGCTGTATGCCTTTGAGCAAGATTCTGCTGCTCAGCTTTATCTTTATAAAATGAGCCATAGGTTCCTAACAAATTTTCCAATTCCTACCTTGCTGCAGGACCTGACACACTATGAAAATTCTATTGATCAGATTAGCAACACTTACCTCCAACCCCTTCTTCCAGACTAACCAGTTTACTGCATTTCTTTGGTTGTTTTATTGATGCTTTCACTTCCTCATCTATTATTTGCACTCACATCAATGCAGTCAAAAGCAGTAAGTCCCACCTGCATGTTTTTTTACATCAGGTGGTACTGGCAGTACTTAAAATAAAATCCTATAGTCTCACATTCTGGAACCTGCAAAGTTGAAGTTTTAAGTCAGGAAGTGTTTTAATGTGATTTTTTAAAAGACATTTGAGTACCCCAAAACAAAAACAAACAAACAAACAAAAAAAAAATTGATATGTACAGTCCAAGCACATAAAGGGATTCATGTTTAGTTTAAAATCTTGATTTGGATTTACTGGAACTGTTGAAGTTTACTATTAAAATAAATTTACAAATGCCTTTTTTATAATTATCTGCTCTGATTTATTAATAAATAAACAACTTCAAATATTTTAAAAACCAACATCATAATAAAAACACTAACTTAGTCTTGGATGATGGAAATAAAGGTTGAACTTTAAGATCTTGGAAGTCTTTTCAACCTCAATGATTCTGTGAAATGCAATTAATTATGTTTAAAAAACTAGCCATTATTTCTAAATAAACATTTCATATTTTTACGAGTGATTTTATTTCCTTCCCTTTTCATTTGAAAACAGATCTCTCATTGCTTATATTAAGATCATGGGGTTTTTTCAGCTATGCTACATTTTTTATAAAGTTATGTTTCTTGTGGTCTGCTTTCTGCTCCCTTATGGAGGACATAAGACAACTTCTATGACAACTGAGACTTCCTATAGCTTTTCAAAAGATTTATTGCTGAATATGTGTTTAATCTTCCTAGAAAGTGTTTTAAAATAATGATAAAAGGCTGTAACTTTGGAATTTTGTCCTGCTACTTTGCCTGCTGCACCAAGCAACTGTGAACTGTTTGCATTCAGCAGGTATTTTTACATGGTGAGGTGGGCCTTTTCCACAGAAGCCAGATACAACGTGCTGATTTTAATAAGGCATGGAACATGAAAGATGGTCTTGATCCTTTCTAGCCCACAGACATTTTCCTGTTAAAGACCACAGGAGCAGATCATAAGACCATTAAAAAAAAAAAAAAATTAACATCAGAAAATAGAGGAAAATACTAGTCAGGACTAAAAAAAGTATTTCCAGGATGCTTTTGAATTTTTTTCCTGCAAAGAAAAATTAATTTTCAAAAAATACAGGTATTTCTGTGTTATCTGTTTGCCCCTTTCTTTGTGCAGCTCATTATTAGGGCAGCAAGCAGTCTTGTGCATTGTAGGCATCCATTCAGTAGAAGCAAAGCAGATATGAGTGATTACAAATAATAAGAGATTCAAAATGTATGAGTATTTAAAAAAATTTATTTCATTTTTAAATTTATACAGTGAAACAATCCTATAAAATGATTTTTCTAGGATGCTACAAGGCACATAAATTACCAAATATAAACATAGAAAAGTAGCCAAAATCATGAAGCCCACATACAATTTAGCTATATTAGAGGCGTGCGAATGATTTATGAGAATGCGAATCACTTTATTTACAGGGTAATGAATATTTCACATTTAACAATAACCAGCAATAAAAAGAAGGGAAGGAAAAGCTCATACCCCAGAACAGTGCCATGTTTTGGGACTCCAGAGGGACTTGGTTTCCTGCAGCTCGTCCTTGGGCCCGAGGCTGTGCTCCTGCTGCTGCTTCCTTAGGGCTGCAGAACATCACCTGTGGAAGCAAGCAGCTCCCCTGTCTGACACAGGAAGGGGCCACCTCCCACTGCCCCATGCTTCCACACCGGGCAGCTTTGTGAAAAACAGAAAGGATCTACACACACATCAAACACTCAGCATTGTCTTCAGTTTTAAATAGTAAAACCGTGTGAAGGGGCTTTTCTTTTCTTTTAAGCAACGGGTTTCAGAAGTTGTTTGGCATGCAATAAGCCATTATATTCTACTAATTAAGAAGATTGAAAAACATACGAATAGTCAATTTTTATTTCATTTCAAGAGACATTACCAAATCATTTCTCCAAATACCCATTTTCCACCTGCATATATATATTTCAACTAGACTAATGGTCAGGGATTCAAAGTAATAAGATTTTGGTACAAATACATTTCATTGTGTATTTTCTTCCATTAACAGGATGCACTCCTTTACGTAGCTCTAAGTATACATTCATGTAATAAAGAGTAATAATTTGGCTAAAAAGATATGTCTATTTATTATCCGATTGTAGTAATCTGCCTATCGAGGGTAATTTGCTATAAAAGATACAATACTAGAAATAAATAGTTCTAAATTCAAAGATCTTCAAAATGGGGTGTCATTTCCAGTCTGTGTTAAATTTTCCAACGTCCTTTTAAAGCATTACCTAACTTCACTACACTTGGGAGAATAATTTGGACCTACATACATGAAGTCCCACTCACACGAGAAGCTTATTTCACTTAATCTCCTTCTTGGTTTTGTAATGGGCAGAAACAACCAGATAATTGTCTGGATTCATGTCCCTGATGTTTGGAGCTTTGCTCTGCACTGGGGAGGTTTTCCCATCGACTCGGGAGATCTGGAGCATTCGGCAAGGGTCGTGCTTCAGCAGGTAACCCGCAAAGGTCTCCCAGCCGCCCCCGACACGAACCATCACGTGCTTGTTGTGCAGCATCTGGAATTACAGGGGAGGGAAAACCAAAAACACTCCTGAGAGGCAGCCATTCCTAAAGGAATCATGCTTTTTTTGCTGTAAAAAACTGCTTACTTTAATTGAAAGTCAAAAAACACGTGATGATAATACATAAAAGGAAATACTGTACAATAAAAGAAAAGGAAGAGAAATACCAGAGTGGTTTTTATTTGCATTTTTAAAGTAAATTAAAAAAAAAAAAAAGGTAAGAAAATGAGCTGGTATTTTAAACTAAAGATATTCATATTTTATGCAAATAAATGCTACACATTTTTCTAGTTCCTCAGCATGGAGTCTTTCTGTTCTTCACGTGTTCAGTAGAAATATGTCAGGGAACATGAATACCTAAAGATTTTTTTAAAAATATATTAGTAAAGACACCATTTTATATTGAATTGAAACTGGCTTTTCTTTATAGGAGTAGTGAAGGGCAAACAATCAAAACAATTTCCCCTATCTTTGAAATATTTAAGAAAAAAAAATTAAGAGAATGAAGTTACATTTATTTTTACAATTAAGTTTTGCTGGCTATACATTCTAATAAAACAGCTTAATGCTGCAATTAAAATAATCCAATGAGGTACATCAGAAGTAATTTCTCTATGTTGGAAACAACTGAATTTTCTGCCTAAATTCAAATAAAAGTTTTCTTCAAGTGCCAGTGTACCTTCTCCTTGCCTACCCTTGAATTCAGTTGGTGATTTTACTAATTTCTTCCTTTTGTTTCTCCATGCTGATGAGTAAAATAAATAGCAGTGAGGTATCGTAAAGCAGCACATTCTATATTTTATTGGTTTATTTTATAACCAACGTAAATGCCACATTGAAAAATGCTTTGATCAGGATATCTCATGAAATGCTAAACAACATTTAGCTGTAGTACAGGAAATTAAAAATTGGTCTGGTAAAAGGTTTCTAGAAGACATTTGACACAGTCTGGGTTTTTGAATTTGGATGTATGGCAGTGATGCCAATATCGAGACGTACAAAACTCCCTTGAGGGCTGGCAGTATTTGCAGTTGGGACTTAGATGTTACATAAACCTTTTGTAACACAGCATAGCAAACAAAACAGGAAACATCCTCAGTCAAACAAAATCACACATTATAGAAGGCAAAAAATTAACTTAAAAAAATTCCTCAACCAAAGAACCCCCCCACCTCAGCCTATTGTTTGAATTCTGTGACATCAGGAGAAAGACTCACCTGGAGTGAAGAAAGCATGGCCAGTTGTACATCTTACTAAAGTTTGAAAATCAGTTTACATTTATAAGGAATGGAACTCTTCATTAGAATAAGCAGCTGCAGATGAAATCTCATTTGACAGTTTTCATTTAAAACATGGTTACACAAGGAAATTCTTGCTTGTGCACTTTGGCTTTTATGTGAAACACAATGTGCAATCAATTATGGACACTGAAAAATTAAGTTACTTCTGATCCATCAGAAAGAGGTGCTCAAGCACTCTCAGTTTGATGAGTATCTCCCAGCTATCAAGCCTGCTCTGGGTTGTGGAGTGTTCACTTCTGCAATAGCTGTACACAAGTGAGATTTTTCTCTAGATTGATGGGAGTGAAAACAGAATCAGACTTTTTCTCTCAGGGTTTGTATTTTAGTTTCAAGACTTTGATTTGAGCTGACAAGGATATGAGATTTGAATCATACCTTTAGTCTGGATAATATATCATGAAAGAAACAAATGGTTTTTGCATCAGGTTTGAAAACTGAAGTTCAAATTGAGACAGAGCTTTAAGACAGTCTAGAGAATTTTATTTAGCAACTTTCTTCTCTTTGAATGCCTTAAAAAGCTTTTGAGAAGTGCCCCAAAAACTTTTAACATTCAAACAACTTAAGCCAAACTGGTGCAATACAACATGGAGTGGGGAGGGGTTGATTGTGCCTGAATTTCAGCTTCCCTATATTATCATAGGACGATTCATGTTCCAAGAGCAGTTGGGCTTTTGATTAAGATGCAAAGTTAGCAAAAAGTATGTTTAGTTCAATTTCCCTTGCTGATTACTGTGCACACTATAAACACACTATTTCCTGATGCTTAGGTTAAATGCACATCTTTTGTCTTTCCCCTCTTTTATCTTTTGTGTTATTATACTATTACAAATTTTACTGAGTGTTTGCTTTCTACGGGCTGAGTTTTTCTACATCCTAAATGTAGTAACTGCTTATGCTGTGCTGTGTCACAAATGCATCATTTTACTCCTACAGTCATATTTTGATGTTAGTAACATCAACATGAATCCAAAATAATTCTGCTAGTTTCAGAATTGCTCCAGCTCCACAGAAGAATGAAAGGCTTCTTAGCATGGAAAAAAACCACCAACAACTTACTCTACTTTCTAACTGAAAAAGCAATATTCTCCCCAAAACACTTCAGCTGAAGATGAAACTTCTGAGATTTCACATTCCATCCAATTCACCTTTTCAATTGCATCAGATCTCTGAGAAGAAAAAGGTTGGATTATGCAATATTAAAGTTTATTAGTACCAATTTAAATACATTCATGGCGTACATGTATTTTCACACTGCTATCCAGCCAACTAAAACTAAGAAAATCCTTTCTGAAAAAAAATCCAACTTATGTTTATGATTGCCATAAATTCCATTATTTCAGTCTGAAGCAGGGCTGTCATTAAAGCTCTTTTCTCTTGAATCTGTCATTGAATCTACAGTGAACCAAACATATAACAAACCAGAGAACCAGAAAATAGCATTTCAGAGGAAGAGATGATAGATTGTTTTGGTAGGCACCAAGGCTGTGTCCAGAGATAACAAGGGAAATAATTAATATAAGTTAGGTGACCCTAAGCTGTCATTGCATAGCACTTTGGCTTCAGAGTAAAATACAGTCTAGGCAGTTTTCAGATGCATCAGTTTGGTGAGTTTGATGCCTTATTAAAGAGGTATTAGGCTGTATGTGAAGACAATTAAGTTCATCTAAATAAGCAGCATTTTACTGACTCGAAAAAAAAAATCTATTCTGTTTCATAGGAACTAAAAATCTGGCCCAATATAGTTACACTTCTGTGATGCTGACAGTTTAGTCAGAAAAAGAAACAGGTAACTTTCCCAGGCATTGTCCTGGGGAAGCTGTGAGAAAGCTCAGGAAAAGAATTAAAACAATTCTTACCTTAAGTCTCTGCAGCTGGTGTTTGTGAACATGTGGAATATGTTATACATGATGTTATGGAAAGGTATTTACAAAGAGGTGTTGTTCCTAATTAAGCAATGGGGTGACAGGTGTCATTAAGAACCAATCAAGTTCTGGGTGAATGATGTTGCTTATAAAAACATGAAGTTTTGTAATAACGTAGCTCTTATGCCTTCTGAAAATGCATGGAGTGTGTCACCTTCATTCCCATTCCTGACTCAATGGTGACACACTCAGATTATAACTTTCTTACAGAACATTTCAGGAGGTGAGAGGAAGAAGAAGGAGGAATTACACACTATAGATCTGACCCAAGTACTACAAAAGCCAACACAAAATGCCTGCTGAATCAAAAGGAACCTGGAAGATAAATGCAGCAAGCTAAGGCAAATAGAGTTAGTTGGTATGACTTCATACCAACTTCAGAAACAGTGTAGGCTACATACTGAGAGAACATTGACTATAAAAATTGAAGGTGTTTGGCAAAATAATGCAGACCACCACACTAGTGGCTGTGCAAAAAAAATTTCACACTTACAAAAGTGAAATATTAATGACATTGCTAATGAGAAGAAATCAGATTTTACTCAATATGAGCCACTTAGACTTACTGTCATCAGTAGATGTATCTTGTTGCTTGTATCTTAGGACTTAAGGATCCTTCTTTGAGTGGCGTTCAGAGCAACATCATGAATTGGGCTTCTAGATCAGTACATTTCACAGCATCCCCAGAAACATCACAGGTCAACACTAAGAAAATACCACTGTTCTGAAGACTTATGTGCATTACTGTAGCAGACTGCTGCCCACAGCAGGCTTGAAGGCTTTGCTGCCTCCACTGAGAGGTGCACACACCCATTCTCTCACCCACAAACAAGGCACCCTCAGACATGGCACCGCTAGCTGATGATTCTGCTGCAATCCCCACTGATGCTATTTAGGAATCATATGGCTCCAGCTTGTCCATACCATTTTTGATTATCTACTCTCCTGTCTGTGAAAAATAAATTACTTTCTCAAATCTCAGCAGTATTCAGCATTCACCAACCATTCTTCGTAAAAAAAACAAACAAAGTGAGACCAGGATACAAATCTCAGACCAGGAATGGGACTCAGATCTAGGCTTTTAGTCTGCCCCAGTGAGTCTCTGGGCCTGTATCTAGAATATGCTGTCGTCAAGTAATGACAAATTATTCTGCAGTGGGACATTTTCATGGAGTAGGACAACCCTTCCATGTAAGAGACTGCAGTCCTTCCCAGTTGTGAGAAGAACTGATGTTTGGTGCTGGCAAAAGGTGAAGTCTTGGAATTTGATGCACATATCGATGAAAAAACATTATCAGCAGACTTGAGACACTACTGCTTCAGGAAACAGGGCCAGCAAAATTAGTCTTCCAAATCCCCAGAGATTCCAGTGCTTGGCAGTTACCCAGGTCTGCTTGAAGGTGGCCACTGAAAATTCTCACATTTATCACTTAATGTGGAAGCAGGTCTAGCTTGGTGAAGCCCTGAGACAGACTCCAGACGACTGGCAGTGTGCAGAAAAGTCTGTGCAGCTGTATGGCTTCCCAGGGGCTCTGATGGCAGAGGTTCAACATCCCTGACAGTCACCAAAACATGCAAAAGTTCTTGCTCACAGTCCATGCTGATAGTCCATTCAAACAGGATGGCTGGGGGCTGGCCAAGAAGAGGACACCACCATAGCAGGTGGTAGAAGGCATTCATACAAAATTAGATGTTTTCTAAATTCATTCAGAGATGCAAATTTTCTGAAATTTATAGGTAACTTTGTTACTACATGAAGTTTTTCCACTTC